TTTGCAAGCTAATGTAAAAATTGTTTCTGTAATTGATTATCTTCCAGTTAGGGTTTATGTAAGCTCTGTCATCTATCAGCTGGGGAGGGCTAGCAGGTATTCGGTGAGCTCATTGCCTAACACACTTGTTTCCCCTCCCAGACTTGAGGACACTGAACAGGGCATCTCCGTCAGCAAGCAGAAAGATGACCACCCTACATTACGGGGATGGGGATTATCAACTAAGATCTAACAGATCGGGTTAGTTTTAGGACTCTAGCCTGGTATTTTTATGTGGTCAAGCCTCTGAAGATTTCCTGTTATTTAAATCTTAAATGCTTTTTAAATGCCAAGGAAATGATATAATTACTACTTAATTATCCACTTTTAAGCCACATTCCTGGAAATTTCTTTCTCCCTAAAAGTGAGTAAAGTCTGCTGTGCCTGTCAACCTAGCAACAAGGACCAGTTGCTTTGTTTCTGGTTCCACTGCCTTGGAGGCATGTCCTGCCCAAGGCAAATGCTGGAAGCTGGCAATTCCAGAAGCTGGAGCAGGGAGGCAGGGCAAGAAGGCACCTCCAGGGTGTGTGGTCGGGGCTCCCATCTCTTGTTCTCCTCCCACCATGGCACTCACAAAGGGAGTGCCATGGGGAGGAAGTAGTTCGGGGAGTTGGTGCTAAGTATGCAGACAGTAACAAAACCCCTTTTGGCTGTCACTCCCCCAAATCTCTTAGGCCTTGCCTCTTATTTTCCCTCTCTCCTCTGGCCCTTGGCACTTGTCTCTGGTACTTACCCTGGCTCTTGAGGGGTGCTTGATCCCACCTCCCCGTCTCAGACCACCCAGTCTGAAATTGAACTCTCTCCCCCCCCCCCTTCTTTTTCCTTCCGATGTCCTCATAGCTCTTCCAAGAATTCAGCACACTATAAGCATGCTTGTTTCTTTTTTGTAACTCTGCTTCTGAGTGTCAGCTCCAAAGGCATGCGAGTCCTGAGCTTGCTTACTCAATGCTGTATCCTAAGCATCTCCCGCAGTATCTGATACACAGTACAAAGCCAAGTGTCTGTTATATCAATGAAAGTAAAGGGAGATGATCAGGGATCGTGTGTCTAGCCACCCTCCCCAGGACACCTCAGGGGACACCCAGCAGGGACTGGGCTCTGCTGACCATGGAGCCTAGGCACTCTCCCTGCCAGGAAAGTTAGCTCTGCTTGCCTGCATAGCCACTTGGCAAGTTCAGGAAACAATGAAGGATCTTAACCATAGCACACCATGTACCATATGAAGAATAAGAACATCAACCACTGAGACCTTTGCCTGAGAAGCCACCAACTATAAAGAAATCTGTATTTTCAAAGCTTATGTGACAGGGGGAGGTGAGTTTACAGGTTCCCAGCTCTGCAACCACTGTGCCAGGGAGAATGAAGCTCAGCTCTGTAACACTGCCCTTAGGTGTGGATTCCAAGTCACTGGGTGGTCACAGATAGAGTGACAAGAAAAGCGAGTTAGTCATCATGAGCAAGAGAAGCGGAGGGTCACATGCTACTGATTAATCGGTCCACTGCTGGTCAATCGCCATCCCCAGGAGAAGGTGCCACTGACCTAGCTTCACATCAATAAATGTCTATCTGGGCCCATCAGCTGCTGTAGCTGCCGCCTGCCAAGACACCCAGTGCTGTCCATGGGCATTGGTGGCCAGGAAACCTCCCTCTTTTCCTCTTAATAATGTCACAGAAGAGGCAAATGCCGTTTCTGACAACATAATGTTAGCTTCACCAAGACGTGTCTCTTTGAATGCCTGGCTAGTTACACAGTGCTGCAGCTGAATGCATTTCCTTACTGAAGAGACAATAGTGGGCTTCAGGAAATTAGAGGCACCACATTGGGATGAGATATACAATTCTGCCTCAGGTTGTGTGCCTGCTCGTCGTCTCTCCTCTGAGTCAGGAAAAAAGTAATTGTTTGGAGGAACCATTTTCATTCCACACTTAGATCAAGCCAGGTGGGCCCATTCTATCTGCCTGGAGCCCAGTAACACACTTCGCTCAAGACAGTCAGAATTCAAGTCTTTGGTAGAGCTAGAGGTCAAGGTGGCTGTGCCCCAGGACAAGCCCTTGTTTGTTTGAGTTATCACCCTGGCAACCATCTCAGGCTCTCTGCTAGATCTAAAATTGTAAATTTCCTCTTAAAGCCGCTATAATTTTCAGTCTGTCCACAGGACTACCGCAGGGAGCACTTCCAACATGGCGTGAGAAGCCAGTTCTGAGCTACCTCAGGCCTCAGGTAGCAGGCAAGGCTGGGAGGAGCCGACAAGTCAACAACTGGTACAAACGACAGGAGCTCCACACCAGTGCCGACGCCTGATTAAGATGCACTGTGTGGCTTCGGTCAAGTTAATACAAACCTAGACATACCTGGGGAGAGGAAATCTTAATGGGGAAAATGCTTCCAAAAGACTGGCCTGTGGGTATACCTTTGGGATGTTTTCTTAATTACTGATTGATGGGAGGGCCCAGAGAGGCAGTACCACCCTTGGCAGACGATCCTGAGTTCTGTAAGAAAGCAGGCTGAGCAAGCCAGGAGGAGAAAGCTAGTGAGCTTCAATCCTCTACAGCCTCTTTTCCAGTTCTGCCTCCAGGCTCCTGCCCTGACTTCTTGCCCAGACCTTTCTCAGTGTTAGGGTGTGGCCCATGAGTTGTAAGCTGAAATCAACCTTTATCTCACGAGCTGCTTTCAGTCAGGGCATTTTATCACAGCAACAAAACCCTAACTAAGACACAGGGTGTCTGAGTAAGCTCGGAGAATTATGGGAGGATGGCCAGTATTCCCACACAGATTCAGGAACACCACAGTATTCCAGAGTAAGAGAGAGTACGAGGTAGGTGATGAGATCAACATGATCCAAGACTCCAAAGCATGGCGTTAAGGAGCACAGGACCTGTGGACTGACCGACACAGTGACTTGGGTAGTCTCAAGACACAAGAGACCAGGTAACGCTGGACAGTGGTGGTGCACATCTTTAACCTCAGCACTTGGGAGGTAGAGGCAGGTGGATCTCTGTGAGTTCAAAGCCAGCCTGGTCTACAGAGTGAGTACCAGGACAGCCAGGGCTATACACAGAAACCCTCTCTTGAAAAATCAAGAGGGGCGGGGCGGGAACAGGCTGTAACAGAGTCCCTAACACCGTTTCCCTCTGGACTGTGCTGGGGAAGAGAGGGTCTGATGGTAGATCATGTAGAGAAGCGACCCCACAGAGGTTTCACTCAGTTACACAGCTGGGAGAGTGAGAACTCTGGGAGCTGTTTAGGAGGCAGCACAGAACCTCAGTACTGACTTCTGGGCAGCAAGGGGGAGATAAAAGAGGGGAATAAACTTAGGACGGCCTTGTGGTTTTGGCCAAAGATGTGTGGACCCACCAAACCAATGGAGAATACTGAGACTAAGGTACAGTGGCTGGGACAGGACGGGGAAGGACAACAGAATTCCATTTAGCTGGTTTGCTTTGAGACACACAGAGACAGACACCGATGGCGTGCTGGGGGAAGAGCACCCAGGACCAGGTAAGTGAATGGGATTGAGAAGCCAGAAGAGGACTGGACAGAGGTACGAAGTTGCCCGTTTGCTTCAATCTTCACTGGTAGGAAGACTGGTCCTCAAATTAGAAATGGCAGAACAAACATAATAAAGAGAAAATTGAAGTCCCAAATCGGTGAAGTGAAAGAGAGTGTCTAGTCAATTTAAATGATTTCAAGTCTTCTGGCTCAGATGAGTTACACCCCAAGCCTGCTGCAAGAAATTGCAGATGTAATCTCAGAGACACGATTGGTAATCGTCAAGAAATTGTAGGGAGACAGTGCCAGAAGACCAATGAAAGACAACTGTTAGCACAGATGTAAAGAGGGACAGACTGCAAAGGAAATACAGACAGTTTACATCGCCAATGACCAAAGGCCTAGGCACGCATATTAGGCAGATGGTGGGAACATGGTAGTGAATACACACAGCTCAGAAAACAGTATGTCCCGCGTGCTTAGCCCCACGCTTCATCTCCTGTGTTGCTTGGCCTGGGGCTGACTGAAATGAAGAAATTGGACAGTCTCAATTCAAGACATCCAGCACTGATTCCTCAGTCCGTGTGGGGAGCACAAAGCAGCCTGAGCTATGGTAGCATCCTGAGCACAGACAGGCTATGTCCGCTACACTGCTTCCCTCTGCTTCCCTCTGCCTTCCTCTGCTGGCTCTTTCTTCCTGCAGACTGTCTGAGAAGAGGGAGGAGTAAGCCAAGTGTAGAAAAGCACCATGTGGGAGACAGTTACGACCTGCCAACAACTCCATGCTCAGCAGACTGAGGTAGACAGACATTTATTTTTTCCTATATGAGGCCTTCAAAGGCCTCCTTAGAACCAAGGGAGGAGAGGACAGGAGGAGAGGGGATGCTAGGGGAAGGGAGGGCAGAGGATGGGAGGAGAGAAGATGGGAACAGATGGGCACAGAGGGGAAACAGACAATGCAAAGAAATAGCACCTACCACTAAGAACTAACTTTTTTGGGAGGGATACTAGTCTCATACTTAAAAACTAATAAAATCCTTTAAGTCAAGCAAAGTTAAAGTCCCCGTCTTAAAACAAATGGATCAAGAAGAAACTCAAACACAAAGCCACTAAAAAGACTGTCTAGAACAAGGCTTCTTATTTGGGTCTCTGGTTCATATACAAAGGTGTTTACCAAAGCTGGAAAAAGCTTTTAACCTACAACAACTCTCAATATGACCTTGTAAGCTTCGAACCCACACACGTGGCCGCAGGAGTAAAACCTTTCGGAGAGAGGCTTCTCACCCAGTCCTCTCTCCCTGCTGACTTCAGGTCTAAATTCAGGGTACCTTACTAAACAATCCAAACAGACAGCTGTATCTCCCTGCCCTGCCTCCAATCTTTATAATAAACAGTAGAATTTCTTCTCTGAAGCTATTGGTGATTATGTATATCTACACTCTTTGAACTAACAAATGCAAAGAAATCTTACCGTATTGACCCAATCATGTATGGCTGTGCCAGCTGAACCACAATTGCACCACTTCCCAGCTGATGACACGTGTAGCCAGAATCCCAGTCATAATTCTTAGTGTCCCCATTGAGCAAGGCATTTCGGCTCCGGCTGACTCCTTCAATCACACTGGCACAATCAGCAATCGTTGCTACATTCTCCATGGGAACTGTGAATCCAAAGCATAAGATCTGGCATCAGGATAAGAGAAGCCAACTATATCCTTATAGCATGCTCAGAACAAAACTAATTAATTAGCATCTCAAATCAATAATAAAAGGGAAACTAGTACATCTCAATTATCTTCAGATAAGAGTTTCTATGTCAAATAACAAAACAAGCAAAAACTGAACTTCAGGTTGGAATATCTAAACCATATGTAGCAATTAATTCTTAAGTATTGCATTATAAAGAGCATATTGATAAGAGAATGAGAAAATACATTGTAAGTATAACTCAATGAAAAACTTTTCATCAGTTTAGACGAAGTTTTGTTTGTTTTTCAAGACAGGATTTCTCTGTGTAACAGTCCTAGCTGTCCTGGAACTAGCTCTTGTAGACCAGGCTGGCTTTAAACTTACAGAGATCTGCCTACCTCTGCCTCCTGAGTGCTGGGATAGAAGGTGTGGGTCACCACCACCACCCAGCTCAAATGGATTTTTTCAGTTGTTTCTGGAAGTTAAATCTAGGTCCTTGCACATTCTAAGCAGGTATTCTATCACTGAGCTGTGCCCTGGCCAGTATCTGGTCTAATGAGCTACAGCTGCATACATGTTGAGTGAAAAATTTAGACATCAAGCAATTCAGAATCTGCAGAGCAGGAAAGGGGCCCCAGACATAGTATCAGTCCCTTTTCAGAACACACAGTGCATGGCCACACAGGGGCTTGCTTTTGCTCAGGAGCAGCAGGAACTTGAACAAACAGCTATGTTTTGATTCTGAGTCTCTATTTACACTTCAAGGCCATATAAAAGTCAAGGGATCCCACAAAACTATAGTTGTTCAGTATGACAGAGGCTCTAGAAATACTAAGATACTGATGATAAAAGCCAAGGGCATGGAAATCCCTGAGGCTGAGTATTCATGTTATGCAATCAAAATTTACAATCTTCTTTGAGGGTTTAAGTCATTTAACCCAAATCTACTGTTATCCACTCAGAAAAGATAGACAGAAACAGCACCACCATATAACCTCATGCCATCTTACAACTGAGTCTACTTTCAAATGAGACAAGCTTGAATGGACGTCTTTGCCAACTAACTGCTCTGCTCTCCACAGACAAGGAAGAGCACCCACAAACAAGGAACATGGGGAGGGGAAGGAGGTAGGGAAATGGGTTTCTGGTGATGAATCCCTTATTCCAAAGCAAGAGTAAAAACCCTGGTGCAATTCCCCATGAGGACAGTCTCCTGGCAGAAAGAACTCCAAAAGAAGCTCTCTAGGACTCTTAAAACAGGAGACTGCTACCCTAGGGGATAAGCCCTGCTGCGTCTATCTCCTGTGACTTGGAAGGCAGGATTTAAGGAAGCAGATGATGAAGAAGAACACTGGAGGCAAGACTCAAGATACTGGGAAGTACCCTGGCAGGAACACACAGCCCTGGCCCTCAGAAACATGGGGCAGCACAAACTGTCATCCAACCAAGTTCTGTAGCAGAGATGTGATGTGGGATTCCCTTCTGTAGGCTGTGAATGTTTTATTTCATTGGGTAATAAAGAACTGCTTTCAGCCGGAGTAAAGGCAGGCAGAAAACCCGAACAGAGATGTAGAGAGTAGATGGAGTCAAAGAGACACCATGTAGCTGCCGAAGGAGAGAGACATCTACTGGTAGCCCACAGCCTAGTGGTGATATATAGATTAATAGAAATGGGTTAATTTAAGATATAAGAGTTAGTCAGGGGGGCTGGAGAGATGGCTCAGAGGTTAAGAGCAGTAGCTGTTCTTCTGAAGGTCCTGAGTTCAATTCCCAGCAACCATATGGTGGCTCACAACCATCCATAATGAGACCTGGTACCCTCTTCTGGCCTGCAGGCATACATGCAGACAGAATACTGAATACATACTAAATAAATCTTTTTTTTTTTTTTTAAGAGTTAGCCAGGAATATGTCTAAGTCACTGGCCAAGCAGTGGTATAATTAACATAGTTTCTGTGTGATTATTTCAGGTCTGGGCAACCAGGAAATGAAAGAACAGCCTTTGTCTACAAATGATGCCCAGAACCTTACCTGTAAACCACGAGCCTCATGGAAAATATAAAATAGGAATAAGTAAATTTAAGATTAAGAGTTAGTTAATAAGAAGCCTGAGCTAATAGGTCAAGCAGTATTATTATTAATATGGTTTCTGGTTATTATTCGGGTCTAGGTGGCCAGAAACCAAACAAGCAGTCTCTGCCTACAGAGATGGCTCTGCTGATTATACCTCTCAAAGGACCTAGTACAACTGCAGCTCTTAAAATGTTTTTCCTAAAGGGGCATATCCCTTTATTCACATTTAATTGGCCAGTGCAAGTCACATGACCTTACTTCACATGGGGGTTAAAGGAGGGCAGAAAGCCACCTTGTTCTGTGTGCAACCTATAGATACTACAAAATGTAATCCAGGGACATTTAGATTGTTAACATTTTTCTTTCCTTGTCATTACAAAGAAAAGTGTCTTCTAAGTTTCTGGGTAAGATTTTCTTTTTAAAAGAAATATGTAAATATATGTACATACACATGTACAACAGCCATATATGGAAACAGAATTACACTCATGGGTATGATGGGATATGGTGCTCTTCAGCTTCCATAGATCATACCAAATTGGTCACCAAATTACTTGTAAAGTTCACACTCTCCACCCAGTGCTCCATCTCCTCAACCACCCTAGGAGCCAACCAATCAGCAGGGTCTGACTGCTGCATCAGGATGGGCTTGTCTCGTCTCACCTTCGTCAAAGGAGCTTTATCTTCCTCTTTCCCAATACCATCACCCTCGATCTTGCTGCTGTGAATTGCCCATTTTTATACTTCTTCTCCTTTTCCCATTACACATTTCTCTTTGTTTTATTTGTTCCTACACACATCTGCCCGTTTTAGTTCGGTTTTCACGCAACCAACACTTAACATTCTGTTCTCTGTTTCCAGCTTCCCTGAGCTCTTCTCTCCATTATTTCTTCCCTTTTGTTCTAATTGGGTTATCAAAGGATGGATTCAAAAGTTTGGTAATATTCTATTTCCTGGTGAGTATATTCATCCTTTCACCCTCCAAACCTGATATGTAGAGGGCTCATTTGATTTTCTACACAGCAATATTTAAATTTTTCAACATTTATAAAAATAAGGAAGATGGTAGAGTCTCTGCTCTCCCACCCCTTAACCAATGATTATTTCAAATGCTGACATGCTTGGGAGTTGTCTTTGCAAACTCCAGCGTGCAACAATTCCCACCTACTCTGTGTGTTATTGCCTCAACATTTTGCCCCTAGATGATGTGACTTGATCAGTCATGGGCTGTGACAGGCTCCAGCTAACTGGGCCTTGTGTTTCCTGGGAAGTCAGGCCAGGAGAGACATTGACAGGCCTTATAGAAGAAGCCAAGCACAGAACACACACTCACATGCCAAGGTACACACAGACCCACGACACCAGTGTCATCTAATCATGTCCGCATTGCTTCCTAAGAGAGACTCTGCTGGAATTCTAATAGCTACTTGGTAGTCAACTGCATCTCTCGTCTCTTAGAGCACAACGTTAAAACACTGCCACCTCTCTTCATTTTCAGTCCTTCTTTTTGCTCTGGATCAATGCAAAGAGAAAATGATACCAGGAAGTAGAATGGGGAGGACAGGATGTGGGTCCAGCAGCCATGGGTGATAGCCTCCTGTAAACCATTATGGTATGATAATCATCACTTCAGCCCTGTCCCAGCCCTTAACATCCAAGTCCGCGAGTTTCCTTCTTTTCCCAGTGCTGTATGCGGCTCTGGTACTTTCCCTTGTTAACAAAGTTCCTCATCCAAAGCCATAAAAATCTGAAGTTATAGAGGAAAATGGACAAACACCGCTTTCTTGGTAGAAATTTCCTTAGAAAAGTAAGTCGTGATCAATCTCTGGGTCCTGACCTTGGCAGGAGAGCTGCTGCGTAAGCATATGACCCTTCTGTCCTCGTAATTTCTTTCATCAAAATCCGACCTGTCAACAGAAAATCTGGCCACCCACGGCACAGAAAAATATTTTGGACAAGAAACCATTTGGGAGTACAAAAAGGGAGGAGGATATATATATATATATATATATATATATATATATATATATATATATATATATACACACACACACACACACACACACACACACACACACACACACTACAGTTTGGCTTTAAAAGACATAAAAGATGTTTTATCTGTTTTGCTTTGTTTTTTGATTTTTCAAGACAGGATTTCTCTGTTTAACAGCCCTGGCAGACCTGGAACTTGCTTTGTAGCCCAGGCTGCCCTGGAACTTGCTTTGTAGCCCAGGCTGCCCTGGAACTTGCTTTGTAGCCCAGGCTGCCCTTGAACTCAGAGATCCACCTGCCTCTGCCTCCCGAGTGCTGGGATTAAAGTCCTGTGTCACCACAGCCCAGTTATAAAAGATCTTTTATCTTTTTTTTAAGGCAATTATTTTTCTTGTTTTAAAATATTTCACACACTATATTTTGATTATATTCTTTCTCCTCTTCCAAGTTAATCATATTATAGGAGCTGTTAGTCCCAAATGTCACTATACCAACTAGACGCTATTTCCTCCATTTCAACAGAAAATAGTTGGATCCCTAATTCTTGTCCTAGAAATGCAAGCCTCAGCTTGCCCTCCTTGCCGGCCTAACACATAGGAGTTGAAATGCATTCTGCGGTGTTTGTGCTGGGAAGACTGAGAGAGTGCCTCTAGCTGGCTGCAACACATGGACAGTGCGCTGCTGCTCTCCCTAGAGGAATGGACCACTCCCCATTTAGAACGTTCATTACTATCTTTCATATGAGCCTGATAAATTTATTAAAAACACCATCTGGATGGGACTCAGCTTTGTGTTATATTTCCAGTCTTCTAGTCTCTTGCCTGGTCCCACTGGAATTTCTGCCCCAATTTGTGTCACTTTGTTTACAAACCCATGTTGCCAGAACCTAGAATCTTTGTCTCTT